TAGAGACTTTACCCAGCAGAAGCAACTTTTTCTTGTGAAATCTTGCTGGATCTAATTATGCCACTTAATTTTTAACAAGTTGGGTTTAAAGGGCCCTTGTAGTTGTTGGAATGTCTACATGAACCATGCCCAATCTTTGATCAGATGTTTTCTAAGTGCAAATTTTGACTTTGTTTAGGAGTTTGCTTAAACTTATGGTTAGAAAGTTTCTTGTGTATTCGTAACTGTGGTCATTTATCCAGTTACTTGTGTATTCGTCTTTTGGTTTAAAAATTTAGTAGAAATATGCAGAACATCGGCTCAATCTATCATGAGGTATCCCATACTTGAACTCATTTCTGATGTCTATAGTTATGTTCTAATACACTTTAGGAGTTACAAAAACATGAGTGGAATTCATTACAAAACAAGTAAGATTACAAAATTTTATGATTTTTAATAAACTTCTCCTATTTATATAATGCTAAGATAGTAACATTGTTCATACACGGAACATGAACTGTCATGTGTGGCAATTTGGAATTGAAATGATTGTTTGTGGCATGCTTGCAGGCGACAATATTGATGGTGCAATGTCTGCTCTGCCAAGGAATGGAGTCAACAACATGGAAATTGTTGATGAAAAAGTACCTTCCTCCGTAGCAGAGTTACCTTCACCTAATTTGACAGAAGAAATTGACCAGCAACTGAAAGAATATGATGTTGAGGCAGTGTTGGCAAAACAAGAGACACATGACTTGTTTTGTCCTAATTGTAAATCTTGTATTACTAAAATGGTTATCCTAAGGAAGAGAAAAAGAACTACTCCTATTCCTAACATAGACACTAAACCAAAGCGTGACAAGTCAGCCATTGAGGTAGTTGATAGTTCTGTAGATGAAGGCAACCAAGGTGATCATGCAATTGCAACACCTGATGATGTAGCTAGAGTAGAGCCTCCTGCTGATAATTTTGAGCCCGAAAGAGAACCAGAAGTGTTCAGATGTTTATCAGGCTTCAGCTTCTTTATTCCTATAGGTAAGTTGATCACCTTTCTTGAGGAAAATTTATTAGTATGTAAATAGCTAACAAGACTAATTTTGTTTATAGATGATTTTAAGTTGTAAATATATAACGATCTAATATATACATTCGTGTCTTCGTGTCCTACATTTTGGAGAGACTACACATGTTGAAGTGTCTGTGTCGTGTCTGGTGTCCGTGTGAGTATATGTGTTACATAGATAACATATCATTCACATGTTTTGGGAGATGGCTATGGTTAATGGTTATCAAACCAATACTTATGGTGCTTATGTGATAATTATCTATTTGTGCTAAAAAATCTAGTTACTTTGGCAGGAAATGCATTCAAACTGTTCCCAAGTTTTGGGGGTAAGCCTGAAGCTTCACAAAAGCTTCCGGTTGTACCTGCATCCAACGTGGAAAATCCTTCAGTTGTTGCAGCTTCCAATTCAAATTGGTTCTTCACTCTGTTTACTTCAATCAAGAGAAGAATAGCTAGTGCTCAAGGTAATTAATAATAAATAACAAACAATTACTACTATTGCAGTCATTTTCACAGTGATGCTTTCACAAACATAAGACCCGCCAAGGTATTCTTTATTATAGTTGTCATTTTCTAATAAAACCTGCAATTTCCTATTTCTATACATTCCCTGTGGTCAACTTTCCCTTTTTCTCCCGTATATCTGATCTGACAATTTTTTAATTATGAGATCTTTCTTCTTTCAATTGAAAATCCTGTTTTCTTGACATCTTGGTGTAGGTGATGCTTCTAGTGAAGATTCTATAGCAGATCCCACTTCAGTTGAAGATTCTAGAATTGATAATCCATTGAAAATAGCTCAGAATAGTTATTCTTCTTTGATGAAAGAAGCACAATCACCAGAACAATCATTTGACAGTGAAGTAGTTGCAAATGATGTAGCTAGAGACAAACAAAATTTCATAGTAAATGGCTCGATTCCATCAATTGAAGATTTGAAGAAAGTTGAAACGGGTATTGAAGACGAAATAAAACCTTTTGTTGCAAACGAAAAGAATGGTATGAAGACAAAAGAACTCAAATTAATAATCAATTAACAATAATTCTGACTCCCCTTAGTTGTTCTGTAAGCAGTGTTAATATTTTTTGTGTGTGTAATAACCGTAAGTATGATTATTATGTTGTTAGTAATGTGAAGTTTTTGTTGAGGCAGAAGCATTTGAAACCTCTACATCCCAGGCAGGTTACGTTCCAACTGAAGGAGATATTGTGACAGAAGCACACACTGAAATCTATATTGGGGAACAACCAAGGGCTGAAATTGGTGAGCACCAAGAGTGGGAAATACTTAAAAGCATTGTGTACGGTGGTTTAGTTGAATCAATCACTAGTCTTGGGGTTGTGTCATCTGCTGCTTCTTCTGGTTCTGCTCCATGTAAGTGCTTCCATCTATCTCTCACTGTGGGAGGGTTTTATGGTGTCACTGATTTTTACACTGACATCTTATTATCATAGTCTATCATGTATGGTAATCTGAACTTTTCTGCATGGACATAACCACCTTAAATGTTATGTTAATCATAATATCTGGAAGTTGATACTGTAAATTTTCTTACTTTGACACTATGAAAATTAAGCCCTAAACTTATTTGGTTCTTAAAGTATAATTTAACATAGAAACAAACAAGAAAAGACTGTGCTGTATTCCATGTTTTATGAGTGGTGATCTGAATTGCAAGAATTTTTATGTTACATTTTAAAATTGGGTAACAATGTGTAAATATTTTTCTTTTATGAGTATTGTAGTGAATATTATAGCATTGGGGTTGGCGAATCTCATCGGTGGACTTTCTGTCATTGGCCATAATGTGAGTTGCCTTCCATTTGTTGCTTATTTACAGTTCTATTATGGTTTAAGCTCACTTCTTTCTTTTATATATTCGATGTATTCTGGTAGTATTGTTTAGATCACAGTGCATGACTGCATGATGTTAATGTCATAACTCCTTTTTCTCCTTTTCCAGCTCACTGATTTGAAAAATGGTCATTCTGGAGGGAATCCATCACAAGATCGATATGAAGAACTACTTGGCCGTAGAGAAAACTTCACACTTCATGCTTTTCTAGCTGTGTTATCATTCATAATTTTTGGTTCTGTCCCACTTGTTGTCTACAGCCTCTTAATTTCTAAGCACTACTATGATGAATATAATATTGCAGCTGTGACAGCCTCTTCTGTTGTGTGCATCATTCTTCTTGCTATGGGAAAAGCTTACACCAGCACACCACCCAAATCCTATATCAAAACAGTGCTGCATTATGTTAGCTTGGCACTTGCAACCTGTGGAGTCTCTTACATAGCTGGTGATCTAGCTAAGGTTCTCCTAGATAAAATCAGTGGCTCAGAATCTGGTTATGTTCTTGCCATGCCCTTGTCAGACACAACAAGAATGGAACCAGCGTGAATGTCTTCTTCAAGCTTATATTTCAATGTTCCTGCTTCTGCTGCTTCTTCTTGCTTCTTCTAGCCAAATAAGGATCCAGAAAATATGTGGTTTAGCTGTTAGTGTTCCAAGCAACGTTCTCAATTTTATAGTTTTCTTGGATTCGTTTGTGAACAAGTCAAGGAAAACTGTCCTTTTTTATCAGCAAAGTAGCTAAACAGTTGTTTAAAAAAATTGAAAATAAGTGCTCCGTGTGTGGAATAGTTATGAAAAAAAAAAGATACAGTCGTTTATATGTTTAATCAATAGCATAAAATAAGTTGTATGTTTAAATATTCAAAAGTAACTTGAAAATATATTTTGATAAGATTGTACGCCAAAAACACAAAATGGTGCCATTCTCTTTCAAAATTACCTAAAGATTTCGAAAAAAAAAGTGGATAAGTGGAACTAAGGTGACACAATTTTGTTGTGATGTTGTGTCAAGATGGCATAATTTTAATTTAAATATTCTTAAAGTTAAAATTGTACCAAGTTGGCTTGATTTCAATATAGTGCATTTAGTTTAGTTTTGGTAGAAGTCCTCCTAAGTAGACATAATTTTGGTTTAGTGTATTCTAAACTAAAGTTGTGTCAATTTGGCAAGATTTTTAACTNTTCTCAATTTTATAGTTTTCTTGGATTCGTTTGTTAACGAGTCAAGGAAAACTGTCCTTTTTTATCAGCAAAGTAGCTAAACAGTTGTTTAAAAAAAAATTGAAAATAAGTGCTCCGTGTGTGGAATAGTTATGAAAAAAAAAAGATACAGTCGTTTATATGTTTAATCAATAGCATAAAATAAGTTGTATGTTTAAATATTCAAAAGTAACTTGAAAATATATTTTGATAAGATTGTACGCCAAAAACACAAAATGGTGCCATTCTCTTTCAAAATTACCTAAAGATTTCGAAAAAAAAAAGTGGATAAGTGGAACTAAGGTGACACAATTTTGTTGTGATGTTGTGTCAAGATGGCATAATTTTAATTTAAATATTCTTAAAGTTAAAATTGTACCAAGTTGGCTTGATTTCAATATAGTGCATTTAGTTTAGTTTTGGTAGAAGTCCTCCTAAGTAGACATAATTTTGGTTTAGTGTATTCTAAACTAAAGTTGTGTCAATTTGGCAAGATTTTTAACTTTAAAAGTACTTTGAATTAAAGTAGTGTTATTTTGATATGATTTTTCAAAAGAAAATTATATCATATTGACACGATTTATCTACTTTTGTAATATTTTTAAATCTATTATTATTTTGATAATTTAAAAAAAAATGCATCAAAAAGGATATTTTTGTCCCAAATTACCTATGAGATAAATGATAGCTTGTTTTGTAATTGTATGATGGTATAAAAGTATTTTCCAAATGTTAAAGCATAATTTTTCTCCACCTATTTTAGTTTGCTTTTAAATTTTTTGTAAAATTATTAATATTGAGATTGTTGATAGGGGAGTACAGGTTTAGCTAAACCCATAATCTCTGTGATATCTGTTTTTGATGATGTCAACACATAGTTAATAAAAACACATGTATATGTACTTTGTTATATGTGTTATATGCTTACTGTGAGATTTGTACAAGCATAACTATAAACATATTATGTTGCATACTACTGTGTTGGAAATGTGATTATATATGAGTTTTGAAATGGAAATACCACATGCACTAAGCATATTTGTATGACTTAATCGATTACAATGGTGTGATAATCAATTAAAGTCATCAGACAGCTTAAGCTTTAAACTGTGGCAAAACAATAGGTTTTAAACCGATTACGTTAGTGGTTAAATCAATTAAAACTCGTGTATTTGCACAAATCTTTTTCAGGTGTGCTGTGATGGATTTTGAGAAGAAAAGTTTTCAAAAATATACTAAGTGTTAAAACTTAATCGATTACATGCATCTTCTATTCAATTAAGTTTGTTAAAGATTTGAAAACTATTTCATTGCTTGACATAACGGTCACAACGATCATATTTTTAAATATGTTGACCAAACATTAAATGCATTCAATTAATGAGTTTGACTGCTGTTAATCTGTTATAACTATGAGATGAAATCGATTAGATTAGTAGCATAATCGATTAAAACGCATCTGATTTGAGTTAAACTATATATAGACGCATGATTTGAATTTCTGTAAGACAATTGATTTTTTAACACTTTCATATCTGTTTCAGATAAATGCTTTAAAGTTTTACAAAAGGGGAAAACGCTCTAAGAACCAAGAATTGTTGTGGTGTTCAAATCTTGAAGGTTGCTTGAGAAGCTGGATTGATTGATTCAAATTGTCTGATCATTCTACAAAACAAAGGTGGATATTGCTGGATCAAGAAGCTCTTGCAAATGCTTTAGTGTTGCTGTTTCCCTATGTTGTATACTAGAAGAAGAATGTGCGGTTCTTGACTTTGAGGGGTATCTCAAAGGGGTTGATTGTAGGAGAGGATTGTTCTTGCTGCTAGTCTGTTGTAATTGGCTATTTTAGATTAGTGAGTTAGAGATGTTGTTTACATTTTGACGAGTGAGGTCGCTGTAAAAACCTTGTTGTAAAAACTCAGATCTTATAGTGCAATTGGCTTTCGGTCTAAGGTTGATCGGAAGGACACTAGATGTAGGCTTGGCCGAAGTAGTATAAAAACTCAGAGTTTGAATATTCTTATTCCTAACTCTCTGCATTTAATTGATTGCATAATATTTGTATTCGAATACGCATACTGTTACATTGCATACATTTTTACTTGCGATTCAAGAAAAGTTTAAAAGACTTACAGTTTTGCGAAAAAGATTGCAAAAGTGATCATTTTTATACATCACCAATTCACTCCCCCTCTTGGTGTGAGAAATGTGGCACATCTTTTTTAACAATTGGCACCAGAGCTGGTTTTCAAAAGATATTTGAAAAAAAAAAATCGACTAACCTTTTTGTATAATCGATTATTCGATCCTGTGATGGCTTTTGTTTCTCAAACATTTTGGTGAAGGTGCATCAACAAATAGACCACCTCTATTTGTTGGTGAAAATTATGCTTTCTGGAAAATAAGAATGCAATTTTTTCTTGAATCAGTAAATAAAGGTGTATGGGATGCAACACTCAATGGTCCATTTGAACCTACTCACATTATAAATGGAAAAACTGGTTTGAAATTTTTTTCTAAGTGGACTCAAGAGGAAAACCGGAGAGCACAGTATGATGTTAAAGCTCGTAATGTAATTGCTTCTCCTCTCACAATGGATGGGTTTTTCAAGGTCTCTCATTGTAAGACAACAAAGGAAATGTGGGAGGTTCTTGAAGTGACACACGAGGGAACTGCTGAAGTAAAGCGTGCCAGAAAGAATTCTTTGGTACATGAGTACGAAATGTTCAGGATGAAAGCCGAAGAAACCATCTATGATGTTCAGAAAAGGTTCACACACATTGTCAACCATTTGATGGCTCTCGGCAAGGCATTTGAGAAAGCAGAGATCAATATCAAAATCTTGAAAAGCCTGAACAGAAGCTGGCAGCCTAAGCTAACTGCTATATATATCCAAATCTAAAGATTTGACTAACATGAATATGGAAACCCTGTTTGTTAAGCTTAGGGAACATGAGAAAGAGCTTGGTAGATTGAGGGAAGAAGAGGAGATTGAGCAAAAGCAATCAATTTCCCTCAAGGCTACAAGCAAAAGATTCTCCAAGAAAGTAGAATCTGAGACTGAGTCTGATGCAGAAATACCAGAAAAAGAGATCATGACCATGATGGTAAAGAAGTTTTCTAAATTCATGAGAAATAGAATTACTACAACTGAAGGATTTGTTGTCGTCGGTAATGGCAATGATTTGATTAGAGGTCATTAGCGAAGGATTGGGGTCGCTGGTAAGGGGTAAGGAAATTAAATTAAACATTTGGGAGGTTGATTTTCCCTCTTCGACAGAACCCATAGTTAGAAGGCTTTAGAAGCGTTCAGAACCTTAGAACCCTTCTTCTCCGCAACCCTAGTGTGAGTGCACTTCTCGTCCTTCACAAAGGCTTGACTAGTGTGAGTGCTTCTTTGTTCAGTGCGTGTGAGCTATCGGAGTCCCTCCTACTGTTCTGGATCGTCGTCCATTCTGCCCTTATTCGTGGCCAGTGGTAAGTATCGTTCGTTAGTGGGTTCTTCGGCCAGTGGCTTCGAGCGAAACGCCTTTATTGGGTGGCACTTGTAAGTGTGTCGTTATCCCAATAATGTGTGTTTGTGTTGACTCTGTTGGTGTATTGCATTTTACAGGCTATTGTAGGGTCATTTATAGAGCAAGTGTAGGGTGTTGGTTGAGGGACTAAGGTGGAGGGTCCGTGGTAGGGTTTTGTTGGCTGTCGTGGTTTACTATTCTTGCCACCGAGACAGGTTATCCAGAGGCCGTCTAGGAGGTAAGTTTTATGTTTTACAATTAAATTTTGCATTTCATTTCCCTGATGAGGAATAAAAATTCTTCTGTTGGCACTATAATCGTTGTGAAACCTTGAAATGTCAAGGCAGAGGAGTTCCTAATATCGTCAATGTTGGTCAGCAAGGAGTAATAAATTTGCCTAATGATCATTGAGTTGTACCTTATGCTTGTGATTGAAACTCAATAACAGAGACTATAAGGGAAGGAGTGAATATACTGACATGGCTTCAGGGTGGGGATAAGAAGACTAATGCATAGGTGGTTAGGATGAGTAAGATGGAGATATGTTCTGAGGAATGGAATGAGGGACATAAAAGGTGGTGAAAAGGAAAGAGATGATGAGCAATGAGTGTTTGTTTTATGTAGAGGGGTGCTGGTGAGGTCTATTTGAGTGACTTGGCTAGGAAAAAAAGAACAAAACTGAGAGACGAGGTTGGACTCAGGGATTATGGGTTTAGGATCGATGAAGTGAGTTTGCAACCATAACGGTAGTGTTAATTCCTCACAGGAAAATACTTGTACAAATAAATTTTTAGGAGTTTGCATTCTTAGCATAGATTTTTTTAACAAGTAAACTAATGATAAACAAACTTAAAAAGACTCAAAATAAAAAAATATTTTTTTGTTTATTCATTATGTATGGTTGAGTTCGTGGAACTCAACATGAGAATAATCTTGTATGAAAAGTGCAAGTAGTGCCTTACACTTTGCACATTAAGATTTGGAAATTCAATATTTAGTATTGAACCTTCTGGAACTGAACC